TATACGAAACAATACACAATATTGCAACAATACAGAAAAACGGCAATGCATAAATATTTGCAGATATTTACAGCAATAGTATGGATATATTACAAGGATGGATTAAAAAGTAATGAAACAATATACATAGTTTTTGATAGATTTAATTTGCATAGCTTATATACTGTTTTTCATGTAAAAACTTTTTGATAGAACCACCTCTATTTTTGGAATACATCTATAAGGTCCCTTCTTTGGAAAGCTCTTCAGAACTAAATGATGAAATGATAACTGCACAACAGTTTCCTATATCCTGGAAAAAGAAATCGCATAATGCAAAACAGAGGCAGGTCTGAGTGAATAGATCTATATATTATATTCATCCGGAACTTTGCTTACATTAGGTCAAGATGAGGCCTTAACTTTCTTATAATCAAATGGAAGCCATTTTTTATCTGTGATTCATCTTCTACAGTGTGTAGGTGGACAAATTCTTCATTGTCCACAAATTTAATCATTAATTTACCTGCTGCCTTCACATTTCCCTTCTTTGGAGCGGGCGGAGTAGATTTCCATTTACCATTTTGCTGTTTCATTGTAAGATCATAATAATAAAGTGATGCTTCATATGCTACTAAGATGATTTCCAAGCAGTTTTTTTATCTCACACAATTTGGCTTTCCTTCTTTTCTAATGCTTTAGGCATAAACAATTTGAAATCCAGTGAGAACAAACTCATCTAATGTAATATTCATAAGTGCTTGCATCCTATTAAGAAATGCCTAGAAGTCTGTGACTGCCATATTGCCAACTGCATGACAATACTTGTACTCATGCTAATAATTATTTTTATCGATGATGGTCTATACCTGCCTCTGTATGAATATGTGCTATTGTTTCATGCTGACATAAAATTTTATTGAATACAACAGTTTTAACAGTAATTCTGTTTTCAGTTTTGTTTTAATGCTCTCCCAACCTATATTCATAGAAAATGTTTTTCGTCCAAAAGTTCATTAGTTAGTTTCCAGTGAATAAACACAAAATGCTTCCCCCCAACACGTTTTTATTATTTTTACAGTTATGTATGTCTGTGTTCAACAAGTTTTTTTGTCCAGACGAACTCTTATCAGATTTCCATATTTAAGCTTTCTGCATTTCTGTAAAGAGTAATTTAGATTTTGGGTAAAGCTGGACAACTAGAAGTCATAATTTATTTGAAGTCCATAACACTTTTTAATAAAAATACTACATTAAAATATAATGAAATGCTTTTCAATTTTAGTATTTAAAACTTTTGTAGCAGTGGAACAATATATTAGATTTGGGCTAATTGATAAACTGTAAGTGATATTTTACTTGAAACTCTAAACAGATTTTCACAAGAAAGTATATAACAATATAATTTAAAACTTCTCAGATTTATTATTTAAAACTGGCATATCAAAATACAGTGCATATACAATCATTAGATTTGGGTTTAATAGTTGTATTAGATTTGGAATTGTATTAGATTGTACGTATTAGATTTGGGCTAATTGATAAACTGCTAGTGATATTTTACTTGAAACTCTGAACAGATTTTCATGAGAAAATATATTACGATATAATCCAAAATGTCTCAGATTTACCTTTTAAAACTGGTATATGTAAATGCAATGCACATACAATCATGATTGAGTACAACATATTATATTTGGTTTATGTGATAAACAAAAAGTGGTATTTTACTTGGAAGTGGTACTTTCTTGATAGATTTTCGTGGAAAAGTATAGATCCACTATAATGAGAGCTTAATCTAAAATAATGCAGCACATATTAAGGCTATTTCCACTATATTTGGACATGATATTTATTTATATCAAGCCATAGAAAAGAATGACTTTTGTAGCTGCAGGTCATGTGCAGAACTTCAAAACTCTTCTGTACCAAAAAGTGCATTTTTTATTCTTTTGCACTTTTGATAATGATGAAGCACAAGAGCAAATAGAAAATTCAAAAACTCCTATTGTTTTATTCATATTGATCAGAAAATATCTAGTAGTATTCAGCTGTACTTCCAGAGACCAACAAGCATTGTTTACTGATACCTAAATATCTCAGGTATATGTGTGGCAATCAAAATGCATTTAGATTTATTGATACCTTGGAATTAACATAGAAGAAAATTCTGTTATATTTATTTCAAAGTATTTAATTTCAGTATATTGTAAATGCTTAATTTTTTTAATTAAAAATTTTAGTTTTTTTAATTAAAAATGAATTATGTGTTATTCAACTGCCTAATGAAATACAATTTCAAATAAAAAGGCATAAATAGGCAAACATTTGATTGTGTTGATATAAATTTAGAAAGCCAGTTTTTGCACTAGGTCAATTATACCTGATAAAATATAATTCAAATTTTTTTATTACATACCTTTCTATTAATTGGAAGAACAAATTAGATTTTGTTTACAAACAATCACTTACAGTTGTAAGTGTAAGTGATGCTTTACTGAAAGCTCATTACTATTTAAAACATAGAATTAACAAGAGGTCCTGACTTTTTGTAGACAGAAAGCAAGAATACTAATTTTTAGCAAATTTTGCAGGATGAGAAGCTCCAGGTGATATCAGATATCATATCTGTTCATTACAACTAATGAAGTTGCTTTTTTGAACAAATTTGCTATTGAAAAACCATAACAATGGTTTTTTTCATTTACTCTCACAGTTTTATGTTGCTCATTTGTTTCTTGTTTCATAAAAATTTGATTAGTCTGCTTATGAATAAATTTTAATCCTACATTGTTTGGCATTGCTATTTGTCAACATAATCTAAGATTGCTTTTTTACAGATACTTATTTAGCTTCCCATTGGAAACATCATGCATTTAGTGAATACTCATATGTGTTCTTAGCATATAGTTCTTAATTACATAGATGGCACAAGATACCTTATTTGTATATAATAGATGTAGTTGATGACATGGTAGCCAATGTTACCAAATTTTGTGTATTGTATTAGTGATATATTTCAGAATTAATGTGATTTTTCCTGTTTTAAAACTAATTTTAGTGTTATATATATGTGATATAAATGAAAAGAAGTGGGAAAATGACAATTTTGTCCAAGATCAAGTGAGTATATAAAATTGTGTGTTGCAGTTTAGCAACACCATGCATTCAATCACTGTCTGTGGTACACCTGTATAAATATGCTCACTACTTATTGCGTATGCATTTCATATTGGTTCTGTATTTAATGCATTGTTTTTTTATCTAATATGATGAGTAGTTAAAAGGTTTTTATTGATCATTATGTAAAAGATGTTCAGTTATTACAATTGACTGGGAAATATGGTTTTTAATACCACTGCATCATGATGATGATGAAAGTTTTGACAGTCGCAACAAATTCACAAAATCGAGTAGTTATACAATAAATTATATTGCTTCTGAAGTGAATGCTATTTTCCAAAAAAGGTCATCAACTAAAACTACCTTGTGCGGAGTATTAGAAAATTCAAGCAGAATTTTGTATACAGGAACCTTAAATGAAATTGCTGTTCGAGGTGTTCTAGGACCATGTTCGAGGTGTTCTTCCATAATACATTCTGCACATATGAAATAAAGTGCAGAATGTATTATGGAAGGAGTATGTAGAGTAACATTTTCTTAGTAAATATACACTTGATTTAATATTGGCTAAAAAAACTCTATTAGTGATAAAATTTTAGAATCATAATACTGATTTAAATATCCATTATTGTTTTTGTAGATTTTACTGTACTGTAGTAGTCTCTCACTACTGTAACTACTAACTCTCACTACTGTAGTAGTAGTGAGAGTTATCATTGAATTCATGCTGCTACCAAATACAAAAAAAATAATACTTATCAAATCTTATTAAGCTGTAATCATATAAGCAGTAAAACAAGGAATGAATATATATATATGTGTGTGTGTGTGTAGTAAACTCTTGCCAGTTGCTGAAGTTATGTCATTAACACATGCCACGTATGTCAAAATTGTATTCTCCAAAGTTAACTTTCTATGGGGGAAATTAAAATTTTAATGTAGAAGTATTAAATATGTTGAATAGCTTATTTAAAAAATTATTTTTGCAAGAAATATGTAGCTGTTCAGTAGCTAATAGTATGTGTAGCTATTCAGTATAAGTGTATAATTGAATGTTAGATTTTTTTTCAATCATTTGGAAAATTAAGTTACAAGAAATTTCCTTGAACGATATAGGAATGGACTAATTGCTTCGAAGTATGAATGCTCAGTTTACGAGAGCGACCAAAAATTATAAAAATGAATAAAAAAGAAATTTACAGTAAAGTAAAAAAAATATTAAAAGGAAATTTTTAATGCAAAAGTATTAAATATATTGAACAGCTTATTTAAAAAATTATTTTTGCAAAAAAAAAAAAAAAAAAAAAAAAAAAAAGTATCTTTTAAATATGTTTAGTTTATCTGCATTTTCATATCTTTATATATCCATCTGCTGAAATACATTGAATCCACTTGATAATTTTAGTGCACATAAGCATTTATGCAGTTAAGAACACAATAACATGCCAAACAAATACTAATTCAGAAGTCAAACAAGAAAAGATCAGCGTTATATTTTCAAAATTTTCTCAGTAAATTTTGAAAATATAACGCTGAGTTTTGTTGTTTGACTTCTGAATTAGTATTTATTCTGTTGCTGCCAGTTTATGTGTATTACCTTTTTAAAAATACTTTGTTTTCTTTTTATCATCCAGAAATTACCAAAAATTTTAAGTGTGTTATTTCATAAACCAAGGTTAAAAGTATTATACTATAAACATTGAACTTCATGGTTAGATCTGAAAAATTTGCATTTTTAAATGGTTATATTTTTATTATTACAGTTAAAAAATATGTATTATATATGTAATCTTTAAAATTTGTCATAGAGGTAAATCTATAAAGCTTCTTTATAATGTATTTTATGTGTCCTTTTTAAGTAAGTCTCATAACATTTTATAATTATATTTTCTTTTTAGGACAAAACTGAGAGAAAAATTCGTTCAGGAGAAATTGAATATAAAGATCGTGTATTTAAGTATCAATAAGAATTACTGCAGTGGAGCTAAATTTAAATAGTAATATTGTACTAATGAATTTATTGTAGTTTTTGTTGATAAATATAATACTGAAGTTTCTGAGTGTCCTTTATTTCTACCACATACTATTATATATAATTTTTGGTGTTAAATATAAACACTTATACAATAAGGAAACAGTTTAATTGTCTATATATCTGAAGTATTATAGTACAAAGTTCGAAATCCAGAATTGTTGGGACTTTGACGATTTCAGATTTTGGATCATCAGTTTAAGAAGGTGATGTGTAGATGTAATAACATTGGTAGCCCAAATTTGGAATTTGTTTTATTATCTATTTCATATTTTGTAAAGCATTTATGAGTTTTTGGATTAAGAAACTCAATGATTTCAAAGCGAGCAATAGCAACACTGTACGGGGAGGGGGAACATTTTTAACTCCAATGCGTGAGACTGTGTATCGGAAATTCTATAGATGTGATCTTTTTAAATTATTTTGCGATATTGCTGTTGAATTGAATTTTATGGTAAGTGCAAAGTACATGATATTTAATAAATAATGGTAACACAAAGTGTTAAAAAAAAGCCCCTTTGGGCATAATATAAAATCTGAAAGCTTTTTTTTTTTTTTTTCCAAATAATTTTTTATTACTCTTGTAACTTTTGGGGAGGATCCACCCTTGTACTATATTGCTGAAAACCACATCTTTTTTTAGTACTCTAGAGTATTATTATTTATACTTGCTCTTGATCTCAAATATCCTTTATAATACTGAATTTTCCAACTGTATATTTTGATTTGTACTTTGAGTTAAAAGCAACCAAAATGGTGATAAGCTGCCAAATGTGGCTAGCTTTTATTCATCTTTGTTATTGCATTAAGTAGTAACCCTTAACCCTTTGTTGCTCAGTGTTCCACTACATGGAACATCCAACTTGAATCGCTTCTGAAAACATTAAATTCAACCATAAGTGGATAAAAATGCCTTTAATATACTTCGAACCTCTCTTTTTAAATAGTTGATGACAGTATATCACAAGGAGACCCAGAATTTTCATTTATGGTGTGTTATTAAAATCCACTTACTTTCTAGTAATTTACTATATTTTTTTGGTGATACAAAAAAATTTGTTAGAAAACCAATTTCTGTATAATTTTTATGGCTGTACTCTATATTATTTGCTATATATTTTTTTACATTTTTCATACAAAAAGCATGCACAGAATCATTGAATAAAACAGGGGGTTCCATTAGCGGGAACACTGCGCCTTTAGCGATCTCATGCTATTACGCATCTTTACAACATCTGTCTCAGAAGAAAACATCTGTTGTATATGTTTTCTATTTCCGTTGTTTTGGGGAAATGATTTCAAACAAAGCAGTCTTGAGGGGTTAGGTGTGGTTTGTGCTATGAATACCCTAATATGATCATCTTGAAATTTTTGTGAGTAATTTTCAGGCGGGATTTTTATCAGTAGCTCGAGTCATCTTTACTTAGAGCTGCACGAATTTTTTGCTGTCGCTTTTTTCTCTCATTCCCATGTATTATCAATAATTTGTGTAGATATTTTTTGTGTATGCATATCTTATATCTTATTTTTCTTTACTGTTAGTTTTAATTGGTAGTTAATTTTTTATTATTAATTTTCCATAAATGGCACGGAGAGGTCTAACTCTTTCCAAACCGCTAAAAGTGCTTCATGAATTACCCTCTTATTCTGAATCAGAGCATGAAGACAGCAGCGATACTGAGATATATGCTCCTGAACCGCTTGTGTAATCCTATTGTGATATGTTGGATGAAATTTGTTTATTTGAAGAGAAGGTTGATGATCCATCTTACCCAGGCCCCTCTATGCAGCCTCAAGTTTTTATTTGGAATTCTAAACATATTGTTGCATGGAACAAGAAGCCGCACAAAACAAGTTTTGGGTTCAAAACCTGCAAAGTTGGTTTGTGCTTTTGTCAAAAAGGTGCGACATGCTTTGAACAATTTTACAAAGCTAAGAAATAGAAACATTTGTAAATATCTTTGTATATAGGACTTATGTATATACATATATTTATCTCATTTATCCATATTTATTCAAGAATGTTGTGTATATCCAGAACACCATGTATAGAGCCATAATACAGTGTTTTTTCATTACTATAAAAATGCTTCTACTCATTCCGTGCTTCACTTCAATGCTCGCTTAGTCGCACTTTTAAAATCTCTGGCGGTGCAGTGTTCCACCTCATGGAACACCCATAGAATTAAAAGGGTAAGTGTAATTTATACAAAATTTTACCTGTATAGGCCTAGATAGACTGCATACAACTTTTTTTGTTGAAATTCCGACTTTAAAGTATAGTGCACCACAAAGGGTTAAGGTAGGCTCTTCTTTATAGTTGAATTCAAAATTTTTTCATGTTCCATTCTGTGAGAATGATAATTCACACGTGAGTTTTAAGCTAAATTTGAGATTTTTCTTCAGTTCATGTGTCTTCATACTTATAAAGCAAGCTTTTATCCTAGCAAGTGTAAAGTCATCCATTTCTTCTGCCACTTAATGAAATAAATGCAAAATATTTTTTTGGATTCTGCAGCCATGCAATAATTGTCTTGCTTTGGTTTGGTTTAGTTTGTGTGATAGGGCAAAGCCTCGAGGGCTACTTGCCTAAGCAGAAGGATGCTTTCTAGGGGAAACTAGCTCATATACATGTTACACAGGGTGGAAAACCACAAAAACGCCTATGCAGACAGCCCATTTGTAGAATTTGAACCTCGAACTGAACTATCTGTGTTCAGCGACTTTACCACTCAGTCACTGGTGGGTGCAATAATTGCCTTAAAATAAATAAGAAGAATGAAATAAACGTGAAAAATGAAAATTCTTTACAGCTTTATTTCTTAACCAGTAAAAAGATCATATAGTATATATCTGTCTCAAAGTGAAGTTTTCCAGTGTATCCTAATTTTCATTTGTATTAATTATTTGGAAATTTCCACTTAGGTGGTATAGTGTTTAGGGAAGGCTGCTGTGGTACCAAAGGTCCCGGGTTTGAATCCCGGAGAAGGCATTGTTATAACTGTCCATCCCTTCATAGGAGGCAACATTGGTGCCTGTTAGATGCCTCCACAATAAAATGGCCACCACTTCTGACCTTCGGAGTGGCCAATGCTGATAAGCAAATGCCTGCCATTGGATTAAAAAAAAATTGTACTCAATTTAAGTGGTCAATTGAATTTCAGGTGATTTTTCAGTTATTTTGAAAATTAAGTTACAAGACATATCTTTGAATAGGGAGGAAGGACTAATTGCTTTGAGGTATGAATGCTCAGTTTACAAGAGTGATAAAAAAATTGTGGAGCACGAGGCATTATCATAGGCATGTTTCAAATTTATTTGACTGCTACAGGAAGTGGAGTAACAGTAATAAGTTGACTCAAGTCACGAGCATCTTTTAGCTCTTTAGCGGGCCCACCAGGATATCACACCTGTGAGGTGGTCCATCTTCTATGGCAGTGCTCTGAGCCTAGCATCGAATCCGAAAGTCCAACACCTTCTTCTTGTTGTCATAATGTGACTGGAATTGAAGTACTAGGCACCTCGATGTAGGTACGAAACCACTTGAAATTACAAAAGTTTTATCAACTTTGAACTTTTCTGTGATTAGCATGCCACCTAGTGGCGCACAGCACAGGGAAGAAAGGCAAACATCCTTCCTCGAGTTTTACCAATTGAATCTGGCCATCTACAGGGTGATCTTTTTTAAAGTGACAGTGTTTGGAGTGGCCTGTAGCACGATCTAATAGCCGAAATGGCACCAAACTTGGTATTTAGACTAATCAAGACATACAATCGTACAGTTAAATTATTAATGTTTATTTACTACATTAACTTCTCTGGTGAGGAATTAGACCACATTCAATATGAGCACCATTCTCAGAAATAACACCGTGCATTCTGTGCACAATGTTCTCCACAGCCGTATGTAACATCCATATCACGAGAAATATTCCATTGCCTTTGTTATGTTGTCTTTTAGAATAGACAAACTTGATACTCCACCAACATAAACTTGAGATATCAAATCACCCCTAGCCAAAAATCGCATGGCGTGAGGTCAGGGGAATGAGTCGGCCCTGCAGCTGCAAAATTGCGACTTATGACTGTATCATCAGTGAAGTTTTGCGCAACAGCGTTTACCTTATTACAATGTGTGGCGGAGCACCAATCCTGCATAAAGATTGTCTGTGGAGACGGTTTCTTTGCTGACGTTGTGAATAACAACTTGCAGCATTATGTGTACTTCTGCATTATTTGCAGGGGTCTGTCGGAGGATGGTCTCCAAAGAATACCCAATTACGATTCGGCTGTGAAACTAATAAAAGTAACTTTGGGGAATTAATGGGATTTTGTAACGGTGTGAACTGCTCAGAAGCCCAATTCGGCTATTATGTGTTTACGGACCCATTGGAAAAATGCCACACTCTTCCCCACAGGAATGTGCCATGGGAAAGCATGATCATTTCTACACTGGACGAAATAAATGCAGAAAGTCACTCGCTTATCATATTCACTGGTTTTAGTTCGTGCGCGGTGCTTTTGTAGGGGTAAATCCAATAACGTGCGCAAAACTCTCCATTCCGTTGAATAATTCATGTCAATTGTCAAGTTACACCCCAGGCGTGCTAGTACCAGGATGTCCGCATCCTTCGACAATTGCAGTGGCCATCAGTTATTAATCTTATGATACTGTTAAGGCCACCGGGCCGCGCGGTGGTAAGTGCTGAAACTGGTAGTCGGTCCGAGGTTCGAATCCCGCGAACGGGCTGGCTGCATGGGCGTTTTCGTGGTTTTCCCCATTGTAACGTGTTAAAAACGAGCCAGTTTCCCTTAGAAAGTCCTCCACAAAGGCATCCCTCCTCTTAGGCAGATAGCCCTCGAACTTTGCCATAATTAAACACAGACACACTGATATTGGTTTCGTCCTCTCAGTTGTGAATGGTCAATGATACCATTTCCTCGAACTTCTTAATAATTCTTAAGACATTCAGCTAAAAAAAGGCCCATTTGTAATTTTTTTTTGGTCGAATTCCGAAGAGCTGC